TGGCTGAGCTTTCACTCAGGTGTCCAGGACACACATGCATGTCCACAGTACTCCTAATGCCACCCCCGGAAACCTCTGCTCAAGTTGGGACATGCAGGACAGAACCGTGAGTCATTGCCAAATGTCTTTCCCCCAAAGAGTCACAGGCTCAAAAAAGACCACAGGAATGGGGCACAGGATTCAACAGCCATCCGGACCAGAGAGTCCCTCCATGTGAATAGCACCCTCCAAATAGCTGTATCATTTGTGACATATTCACTCTCCAGACTCCACCCCCATTGGGGAAAGGAGGAAGAACAGGAGTATCACTAATCAAATGACTTCATTATTGACTGGCTGAATAGAGAAAGGGGGCTCCTTCCTCAGGTCCTGCCCAGATTTTTGGCTAACTCCCTCAGGAGTGTCTCCACCTGCCTTCCAGGAAGTTCTCTCTGCTTGGATGTCAGCTTCTAACTTCTCAGCTTCCTGCTGCTGCTGCTTCAGCTTCTCCAGAGCTGCCTGGAGCTTTTCCTGTGAGAAAAAAGTCACACCAGGGTCAAGCTGGGAATTTTCTCTGCGTCTGGATAGAGAATAAACATGGAACAAATCAGGTTGATCTCAGAAAAAGACTGGACTTTCTAGAAACTGTGGAGCAGCAAGTAGAATTTATAACTCGGAAGAAAACCTGAGATAGTGAATGTTTTCTTGTTCTTTAAGTTTCAAGTATTACGAGTCACCATCCTATCACAAATACACTGATGCTTTTTGTCCTGGAAGAAGAATCTGATTCTGCAGCAAGAAATTATATCTCAACCCACTCCAGGTATTCTCCTGCCGAAGGAGGTAATCAGAGCTTCTCTTGGGCACTAAATTGCTACACATATAGAACAACCATTTACTTCTGTCTAAGTTTGTGTATTCTAGGTTTATTCTTTTGTAATTGGGTAGACTGCACAGAGGTGTCCTTCAGGCCTCGGAAGGTAAGAAAGGAATGGAAAGAAATCTCAGGGCTTGGGTTTATGGTCACAGGTATTTAAAGGAGAATGCAATGTGGAGATTGCCCATCAGATTCCATTTTCTCTCCCATCTTTTCTTTATCCTTTTTCTTACCTGATACTCCTGGACAACCTCCTCTGTGAGGAATGTGTGGTGACCTCGGTGCTCCGGAGACCGCTCACAGAGCCAGCAAATGATCTTACCATCTTCCTTACAGAAGAGCCGGAGTTTCTCTCCATGGCATACACAGTGATCTACCTTCTGCCCCTCCTCTGGACTCAACTTCGCCTCCCTGAGCATCTCAACTATGTTGGCCAAATACCGACTAGGCCGCAGATTCTCAATCTGGTATCGGATTAGGCACACAGGGCAGCTGCCCTCCCCTTCTTGGACTACTGTGGACATCTTCTGGTTTGCAGTGATGCAGGCTTGGCAGAAGTTGTGGCCACAGTCTAGGCTCACGGG